AGGCTGAGGCTGAGGCTGATGCAGGCTGAGGCTGAGGCAGGCTGAGGCTGAGGCCGAGGCCGACGGGCTGAGGCTGAGGCTGAAGAGGCTGAGGCTGAGGCAGGCTGAGGCTGAGGCGAGCAGGCTGGCTGAGGAGGCTGAGGCTGAGGCTGAGGCTGGCTGAGGCTGAGGCAGGCTGAGGCTGAGGCTGAGGCAGGCTGAGGCTGAGGCCGAGGCTGAAGGCAGACTGATGTTGAGGCTGAAGCAGGCTGAGGCTGAGGCTGAGGCAGGCTGAGGCTGAGGCTGAGGCTGAGGCTGAGGCAGGCTGAGGCTGAGGCTGTGATTGCGACTGCCGTTGCCACTGCGACTGCCATCGCGAATGCGACTACGACTGCGAGAACAACAGGATTCTACAACAGGATTCTCATCTGAATCTTAAGGGGAATGCTTCCAGATATGCTCTTACACATCGCTGTTAGGTTGCTTTGCCGGGATAATTGACAGGGAAGGTCTTGGTGCTCAAACTGGGCCCCTGGCCCCGCCGGATTAAAACAACAACGGCTCCCGCCTGAGACTTCCTCCGGATGTATTGAGGACCCCCGCTTTTGAGAGTTCCTCACAATTTACTCAGGATCGGTGTTCCCGCTTGTGACTTCCTCGCAATTTAGTCAGGGCCCCGCTCCCATCTGAGACTTCCTCACAATGTATTCGGGAACGGCGCTCCCGCTTGAGACTTCCTCGCAATTGAATCAAGACTTCCTCGCAATTGAATCAAGACCCCCGCTCCCGCCAGAGAACCCTTCACATGTTATTCAGGAATTGCGCTCTCGCCTGTGACTTCCATGCGATGTATTCAGAAATCGCGCTTTCGACGCTCAGGAAACACGCTGCGCCAAGGACGCCGCTACAATGTACTTAGTATTCGCGCCCTCGCCATACTCAGGCATCCCGCTTGAATGTCCCACCCGCCCAACCCGCCCGTCAGGGGATCGGCCGCCCGTCGCGGGCTCCCGCCCGAGACTTCTTTCAGGAACGGCGCTTTCGCTTAGGATTTCCTCGAACGTTCACGCTCTTACCTTTCCCTCCTCCCTCCTCCCTCCTCTCCTCCCGTTTCTCTCCTTCCTTTCTTCCCTCATCCTTATGCCTCTCTGTTCTATCCCCTGTCCCTCCTCTCCCTCCTCCCTTTTCCCTCCCCTCTCCTGCCTCCTCCCTCCCTCTTTCTTTCTTTCTTTCTCTCTCTCTCTCTCTCTCTCTCTCTTATCTTTCTCTCTCCCTCTCTCTCTATCGTTCTTTCTCTACCTCTCGTATATGTCATTTTGTTATCTCTCTCTATCTCTGTCTCTCTCTCTCTCTCTCGTTTTCTCGTTCTCTCTCTCTCTATCTCTCTCTCTCTGCCTCTAATCAACCGCCCCCCTCTTCGCTCTTTCTCTCCTGGCGTGTTCCCTCATCCTTCGTCCCTCCCTCGGCCTTGCTCCCACTCTCCCTCGTTCTCCCCCTCCTTTTTGTTGCAGGGCCCACACCAATTCCAATGGCGGGCACATGTACGCCCACGAAGGATTGTCCGCCCGTTCAGGTTCGCCCGCCTGCCTAAGCCCGCCGCCCCCCGCAAAGAGAAAGAATCCCCCCAAAGGAGGTGTGATCGAAGACAACAAGGGCGGGTATCGAGGGTGTGGGGAATTCGTTTTGAATGACACGCGGGCAAGTAAGAGCGAACAGTCTTATAATGATTGATGTTGTTGTTGATCGTGTTGTTGGTGGTGTTATATATATATATATATATTGTTGATTACCTCTCTCTCTCTTTCTCTCTCTCCTCGCTCCTGGCCCCTCTCGTCTCAATGCTCGTCGCTCCTCCCACCTCTCGCCTAGCCCTTCGCTTCTCCGTCTTGGCTACTGGCATCAATCTCCCCCCTCCTCTTCGGCGGTCACTCGTCCCTCGCCTGTCGCTCCTCGGCCGTCGCTCCTCCCTTCTCGTGCCTTGCTCCTGGCTGATCGCTCCTCGCTTCCCCACCTCCTGCCTCGACCCTGGCTCCCCGGTCCCTGCTCCTCCCTCGTCGGTGAGCTGCCAGGTTGCGTTAGCTAGTAAGGGTGCCAAGAAACAGCACGGTGTAGCATCCAGCAGCAGTCGCGAACAGCAGCAGTCCGCAGCAAGCAGCTGCAACGCACAGCAAACGTAAGGCGCAGCAGCAACAACATGCCGCAGGCAGCAACACCCTCCCGCTGCAGGCAGCAACACCACCAGGCGAAGTTCGGGCCCAACGCCATCACGGAAGCCTTTCGGCTACATCTGTGCCTTGACCCAGCGTGCCGTCTCGGACAGATTTCGCGACTGGTAGACCACGGGTCAGCCCTAGTCTATACTACAATGCCGGGCATTTGCGCTTGCGAGAGGGGGGCAAGCGATGGTCACCCGCGGCGGCGCCCCAGGGCCCCGCCCGTGGGGTGACGCCGTCCTGGCCCAGGACAGCCCCGTGACGGCCCATGAGGGCCCCGACGGAGACCTCGAGAGTCTCCCAGGAGTTCCCCAGCGAGCCCGAGAGGGCCCCAGGACGGGTTCGGAGGGCCCCCACGAGCTTCCACGGAGCTCCCAGGGGACCCCCACGAGGGCCCCAGAGCCGCCAAGCTATCGATATTCTCAAAATTTCTTGACGTTTCCGGTGGTGCTCCTCCCGCCCGCCCCAAGACGCCCACCACGACACCGCGGGCGTCCGAAATCGGGCCCATGCTGCCGGGGGCCTCCAAGAGAGTCCCCAAGACGGCCCCAGAGGCCTCCGATCGAGCTCCCCGGGCCCCCAAGACGGCCCAAGAACCTCCCCAGACGGCCCCAAGGGACGTCCAAGAGGGTCCAGTTCGGAGCGTTTCCCCCCCTCCTGGCCCCTCCACGGCCAGCAAGGCTCCAAGACGCCCCCGAGAAGCCCCCAGAAGGCCCCGAAGGCGCTCCCAAGAGGCTCCCGGGCGCTCTCCAGAGGCTCAAAGAAGGCTTGAGAGGCGCCCCCAAGAGCTCTCAAGAGGCTCCCAGAGGCTCTCCAGAGGCTCCCACAGAGCCACACGAGGACCCCCTCCCGGGTATCGGAGGGCTCCCCCGCCGCTTCCCCGATGCCTCCTCTGGGAACAGCCTGCTACAGCACGCGGCACTGCTGGCACGACAAGCAGCAGGCTGGGCAGGAGGAAGGGGGTAAGACGGAGAAGAAGGGCGAGAGGAGTGGAGGAGGAGCATGAGGGCGAGGAGGACGGCAACGACGGCGACGACGACGACGACGACGACGACGACGACGACGACGACGACGACGACAGCGACGACGACCACGACCACGACGACGACGACGACGACGACGACGACGACGACGACGACGACGACGACGACGACGACGACGACGACGCCGACGCCGACGCCGACGCCGACGCCGACGCCGACGCCGACGACGCCGACGCCGACGACGACGACCACGACCACGACCACGACCACGACGACGACCACGACGACGACGACGACCACGACGACGCCGACGACCACCACCACGAGGACGAGGACCAGGACGAGGAGGACGAGGACGAGAGCGCCCCCGGGAGGCCCCCGGAGGTCCGCGTTGCTTCTGTTGTTGCTGGAGCTGCTGCTGCAGCTGTTGCTGCTGCTACTGCCGATGGTGCTTCTGCTGCTGCTGCTGCTGCTGCTGCTGCTGCTGCTGCTGTTGCTGCCAGCGCTGCTCCAGACGCCGTCAGGATCATCAAGCAAACAGCGCACCCTGAAGCAATAAGCAGCAACGAGCGCACGCTCAATCCTCTGGCATTCGTGGACGGTAGTCCACGGGTCAGCCCTAGTCTCTACTACATTGCAGGGCCCAGTGCGTGCCAGAAGGGCGCAGGCCCCAATGCACCGAAACCGCCCCGGGCTGGCCCCGGGCCGCCCCAGGCCGCCCAAGCAGGCTCCAGGACATGTCGAGAGGGCCCCCAGAAGCCCCCAAGACGGCCCCGGAGAGCCCCGGCACGCTTAAAGATGGGCCCAAGACGCCCGAGATTCGCCCCAGACGGCCCAAGAGGCGTCCAAGACGCCCGAAGAGGCCTCCCAAGAGGCCTCCCAAGAGGGCCCCGAGCGACAGAAATCGTAGATTTCTATCGTGTGTTTCGATGTTTTCGACCTCCTCGCCTCTTGGGCTTCCCGACGCTCCAAGACGGCCCAAGAAGTCCCCCCGACCGCTCCAAGACGGCCGAAGAGGACCCCAAGAGAGCCCCAAGACGGGCCAGGAGGGCCCCAAGACGGTCCCAAGACGCCCCAGGACGGCCCCAGGACGGCCCAGGAGGCGCCCAAGACGGCCCAAGAGGCACCCAAGACGGCCCCAGGAGCGGCCCAAGACGGCCCAAGACAGCCCAAGAGGCGCCGAGGCGGGCCTCAGACGGCCCCAAGACGGCCCAAGAGGCACCCAAGACGGCCCGAGAGGGCCCTAAGAGCCCCCCCCGGGAGGCCCAAAAGAAGGCCGAAGAGGCTCCGAAACAGCCCCCACGAAGCCTTCAGTGGCTTCAGAATTCCCTCCAGGAGCGGGGGAGCGGACGAGAGGCGACAGGCATATCGCAGGCAAAAACGCCCCAAGAGATCCCCAAACGGCCCCCACGAAGCCCTAAGTGGCCTCAGAATTGCTTCCAGGAGGGGGGGAGCGGACGAGAGGCGACCGGCATATCGAAGGCACAAAAGAACAATGTTGGACGCTCCGAGGGCCTTCGATGTTTCTCTGTTGGGGAGAGTCGTCGTAGGATCGACGATTGCCGACCGAGGGCATGGAGAATCCAGCGAAAGAGGAGAAGAAGGTGGAAGAGGAGGAGGAGGAGGAGGAGGAGGAGGAGGCGGAGGAGGAGGAGGAAGAGGGGGAGGAAGCAGCAGGACCTCCGAGCAGCAGCAGCAGCTGAGGAACACAGGAGAGCAGGAGGTCCTGGAAGGTGTGGAGAGCGCCTTCAACTGGCCATCGTGGCCAGAGACCCCTCGCCACGTCGAGCTGATGTCGTGGACGGAGTCCACAGGTCTGCCCTAGTCAGTTACAACGCTGGGATCAGCGCGTGCGAGAAGGGCGAGCAGTGGCAGTGGGCGCTGGCGCTGCTGAGAGAGATGTGGGAGGTGAAATTGGAACCTGACGTCAACTGTATTAGAATCCTGGGCGAAGCGCGGGCGAAAGAGGCGAGCAGCGCGAGCTCCTCGCGCGCCTCCAGGCGCTCCACGACGGCTCCAGCGGGGCCCCCGATGGTCCCAAAGCCTGCCTCGGACGGCTCCTGGACAGCTCCGACGCGAGAGGGGGGCCTGGCGGCCCAAGGGGGACCCGGAGCGAGCCCCATGGCGGCCACATGGGGCCCGAAGACTCGCTGGCGAGCCCCGCCGACGGCCCACGAGGACCCACGAGCAGCGCGAGCTCCTCGCGCGCCTCCAGGCGCTCCACGCCAGCTCCGGCGGGCCCCCCGAGGGCCCCGGAGCCGGCCTCAGACAGCCCCAGGCAGCTCGGCCGGAGGCGGACGGCGGCCGGAGGAAGTGAGCAGGGCTGGAGGAGGCGCAAGACCGCAAGGAGGAGGAGGAGGAGGAGGAGGAGGAGGAGGAGCAGGAGGACGAAGAGGAGGAGGAGGAGGAGGAGGGGAGGGAGGAGGAGGGAGGAGGAGGTGAGGGAGAGGAGGCGAAGGAGGAGGAGGAGGAGGAAGGAGGAAGGAGGAGGGCGAAGGAGGCGAAGGAGGCGAAGGAGGGGGGGAGGAGAGAGGAGGAGGAGGAGGAGGAGGAGGAGGAGGAGGAGGAGGAGGTGGAGGAGGAGGCAGAGGAGAAGGCAGAAGAGGAGGAGGCGGAGGAGGCGAACGAGGAGGACACCAGGACGGCCCAACAAGATGGCCCAAGAGGACCCTCGGCGAGCTCCACGGCAGCCCAGGAAGGGGCCCGAAGACTCGCCCGGAGGCTCTGCAGACGGCCCCCGAGGACGGCCCAACGAGGCCAATACAGTCGGACCGAGGTATAAGATCGAGATCGGCTCGGGGAGGGTACCCTACTATTATTTGTGTGTGTGTGTGTTTGATGTTTTGGTGCATCCCAGGGAGGGTACCCTTGGATGTTCTTTCTATTTTGGCCGACGGAATTTCTCACGTTCTTGAAGAGTGTTCTTCTGGCCTAGATCCGACTGCAATCAAGCAAAAACGCTGTGTTTCAATATTTTTCACCGTCTCCCCATGACGGTCCCAGAACTGCCCCACGCTGCTCCAGGCACTTTCACGATCGCCCCAAGATGGCCCAAGAGGCCCCGACGAGCGCACCAAGAAGTCCCAAGAGGGCCCCAAGCCAGCCCAGAACAGCCTGCCAGAGCCTCGAGTTCAAATGGCCCCCCAGCACAACGGCCTCAGACCCCCACCATGGCCCCAAGACGGCGGCCCAAAAATAACCCAAGAGGGCACCCTCATGGCCCAAGAAGGCCCCATAATGATCCAAGGGGGCTCACAGAGCTTTTCAAGAAGGACACCTCCGAAATGTTCTACATCCTCCGAACAGATTCTGACAGGTACGCCTCCAGCCTCAGCACTTTTCGTCGTTTCTGGATTCCTCGAAGCCCCAGAGAAAGCCCCAGACCCCAGCGATGCCCCAGACCATTACTAGATGCCCCAAAGTTCCCCAAAAGACTCCGATAGAGATACCAAGGAGCTCCCAGGAGAGTCTCAAGCCCCAGAACCTTTCGCCGTCTTTGAATTTCCAGAGATTCCTCGGACCTCAAGCAACACCCCAGAAAGCCCGTTCCCCTGTTCTCAGATCGTCCCTTCATCCTCCTCCTCATCCTCCTCCTTCTGCTCCTCCTCCTCCTCCTCGTCCTCCTCCTCCTCCTCTTCCCTCTCGTGCTTGGTGCGTCCTCCTCCTCGTTCTCGTTTTCCTCCTCCTCCTCCTCCTCCTCCTCATCGTCCTCCTCCTCTTCCTCTTCCTCTTCCTCCCCCTCCTCCTCCTCCTCCTCCTCCTCCTCCTCCTCCTCCTCCTCTCCTCTCCGCCGCTTCCCTCCTCCTCTTTTCTCCGCACCCTTCTTCCTCGGGTGGCCGCGCTCGCCGTCACACCCCTCATTTTCTCACATACCTTCTTCTCGTCCTCTCCTTCTCTCTTCCCTGGACGCGCCCGCAAGCAAAGCCCCACCCACCCCCACCCCCAGCGGCCGAGGAGGGATGAAAGGGAACCTCCATCAGACCCAGAGAAAGCCCAGACCCCAAACAAGGCACCAGACAGCTGGTCTGCCCGTTCTCCGTACTCTCTTTTCCTCCTCCTCCTCCTCTCCTCCTCCTCCTCCTCCTCCTCCTCCTCCTCCTCCTCCTCCTCCCTTCCCCCTCCTCATCCTGCATCCTCTCTCCTCCTCCTCCTCCCTCCTCCTCCTCCTCCTCCTCCTCCTCCCCCTTATCCTCCTCCTCTTCTACTTGTGGGGACCTCCGACCCCTCTCTCTGGTGCCGCTCTCCCTCTCCTTTCTCTGCTCGCGTCGGCGACATCTCCGCGTTCGGGGCCAGCACTTCGCCCTGCCTGCCAGGGATTTCCCACGGGAGCACACTAGTCTATACTACAATACCGTCAGCTACAGCGCTGGGATCAGCTCGTGCGAGAAGGGCAAGCAGTGGCGACGGGCGCTGGCGCTGCTGAGCGAGATGTGGGAGGTGAAGCTGGAGCCCAACGCAATCATCATCTCTGCAATCTCATATCAGGGCAACTGCGTGCGAGAAGGAATTGGGGACCGAGTGGGAGTAGGAGCTCCGTGCCGCACCCAGAGAGCGTCAGGGGCCGTTCGGAAAGGCTCCGGAGAGCCCCAGGTAGCTTGAAGACGGCAGGCACAGGACGACCCGCTTCTGTGACGGTTCAAGCGCGCTTCAAGACTCCCAAGGTAGTAGCTTGGAGACGGCCCAAGAGGCCCCCAGGACGGCCCCAAGATGATTTAAGATAGCCCGAGGCGCCTTCAGACGGTCCAAGTGGTCACCACCATCGCCTTCAGACGGCCCGACAGGCCCCAAGACGGCCGAAGAGGGCTCCAAAAGGCCCCCCAAGAGGCCCCCCAAGAGGCGCCCCAAGAGGCCCCCCAAGAAGGCCCGTAGAGGCCAAAATCGTTGATATCCGCATCCTGAGTGGGGGGGGCGTTTTCTGTGGACAGCCACGCGCAGGAACAAACAAACACCCACGTCACCATCGCCATTACCAATACCGTCATCATCATCATCATCATCATCATCATCATCATCATCATCATCATCATCATCATCATCATCATCATCATCATCGCCATCGTCATCGTCATCGTCATCATCATTCTCATCATCATCATCATCATCCTCATCATCATCATCGTCATCGTGATCGTGATCGTCATCAATATCATCATCGGCATCAGCATAAGCATCATCATCAACAGCATCATCATAATCATCCGCATCATCATTAGCATAATCATCACCATCACCATCACATCATCATCATCATCGGCATAATCACCATCATCATCCTCATCCTCATCCTTAACATCATCAGCATCATTACCATCATCATCAACATCATCGTTTTCATCATCAGCAGCAACATCAGCATCACCATCATCAGCGTCGTCATCAGCGTCATCATCATTACAGTCGTCATCACCAGCCTCATCATCACTATTCCCTACCTGGGCTCTGCCTAAAAGGGTTCTTACTCTCTTTGCTTAAAGGGGCCGGGCAGTGGAACGCGCCCCGGGCGGTTCCCCCAGGATCCGCCCCGCGGTTCCCCCAGTGACGTCCCCTTAGCTTAGCGTTGCTTATCTCATCTTAGCTTAGCTTATGTCATCTTAGCTTAGCGTCATCTTAGCTCAGGTTTATCTTAGCTTAGCGTACCTTCATCGTAGCTTCGCTGAGCTATAGCAGAGCACAGCATAGCATAGCGTAGCATGGCATCGCGCAGAACAGCATATCATAGCATAGCACAGCATAGCATAGCATAACGCAGCATATCATAACATAGCATAGCATAGCCCAGCACAGCACAGCACAACACTGCATAGCACAGCGCAGCATAGCATAGCATAGCATAGCAGAGCATAGCATAGCATAGCAGCAAAGCAAAGGCAAAGCAACAGTAGCGACAGCAAAGCAAAGCACACGCAACGCAAAGCAAAGCAACGCAAAAGCAAAAGCAAAGCAAAGGAAAGGCAAAGCAAACGCAATGTGCGACAGACGCCGAGCTAGCCTCGATGGGTGTAATTCCCTACCTAGGCTCTGCCTAGAGGCTTAGCCTAGCTTAGCATAGCGCAGCGCTGCATTACCATAGCATATAATAGCATAACATAGCGAAGCATAGCATAGTATAGCATAGCATAGCGCAGCACAGCATAGCATAGCATAGCATCACACAGCATAGCGCAGCATAGCGTAGCATAGCTTAGCATAGCACAGCGCAGCATGACATAGCATAGCTTAGCATAGCATCGCATAGCATAGCATAGCATAGCATGGCATAGCATAGCGCAGTATAGCATAGCAAAGCATAGCATAGCGCAACATAGCATGACATAGCATAGCATAGCATAGCAACTAATGCTGCTTTCCCAGAGGCTCCAACTTCTAGGTAGGGTCGCACTGGGGTAATCATAATTGCCGTCATCACCATCATCATGATTGTCACCATCGTCATCATCATCTCCAGTATAATCGTCATCTGCATCGGTCATCTACCATCACACTGTCATCGTCGTCATCCTCGCTATCATCGTCATTCTCACCACCACCATCATCATCCTCATCCTCATCAGAACCTCCATCAGCAGAATCAGCATCACCACCATCATAATCAGCAGCATCATCTTCAGCATCAGCAGCCTCATCTTCCTCGCCATCACCATCTTCATTGCCACCACCATCGTCATCATCATCATAACCGCCATCACCAACTTCATCACAAGCATCACCATCATCAGCCGCATCATTATTATCACCATCATGTATCGCCAACACGATCAGCATCATCATGATGGCTGTGAACATCAGCGGCAACATCACCATCATCATCATCATCATCATCATCATCATCATCATCATCATCATCATCATCGTCATCACCACCATCACCATCACCACCGCACACTCACGGAGCCACCCAATCACGCACA